GTTTGAAAGCATTCCTTGATAAATATATTGAACAGCCGATTATTTTAACCTTATTTGTATAATATTTTTCTAAGCCAAGGCTACAAAGTACTTCACAATAAAATGTTAAAACAAACTTCAAGGAAAAGAACACAATAAAGTAAAAAAGCACATTAAGACTACCTAAAACAAACTACCTGGACTAAGACTGCCTAATACAACCCCCTTTTTGCTTCAGTTCTGTTCTTGTAACAGCTTAAAGCCCTTGATTAGAGGACTTCAAAGACCTGAAAGTTGTATAGGCTAACAATTTGCAAATATATTCACCATGTAAAGCCTGGTAAGTAAGCACCAGTAATTTCAAATCAATTCAAATTTTCACTGGAGGCCGGTGGAGAGAGGAAAACACTGAGCTAATGTGATCCTTACGTCTGATGTTTGTAGACGAGCAGCTGCATTTCAGACTAATTAAAGCTGAGCCAGAGCTCCTTGACTAAGGCAAGCAAATAAGGTGTTACAACAGTCCAAGCGAGATGATACAAATGCATGAATAATCCTCTCTGTGTCCTGAAAGGACAAAACTCATCTCATTTTAGCAATTTTTTAACAGGATTGAGCAGTTTTCTTGATGATGAATTAAAACATTTACGGAGAATAAGATATCATGCCCACATTGGGCTCCTGAGAAATAACCCTTGGATTTTCTTACTATGATCAAAATAAATTCCCACAGATGGGCGACTCATCTCACCCCAGACTTGGCGTGTAAGATCTCATGCTTTTCTCATTTGTCTGTAGTACTTCTTACAATTTAATGCTCATGTTAAGCTCCTCTTTCCTCTTAAGGGAGAAAGATTTCAGAAATCTGTGATCCTTCATTAATACAGTAATGAGATCTGCTTTATTTCTCCTGAAACAAAGAAACTCTGATCTTAAGATCTTTTTCAGGCCAAATTACAGCTCTAATTTTAACTACTAAACAACTTCATAGTTCAGAGGCCAAGAGATGTTGTAATGTACACAAGCAAAACGTCTCATTTTGTTTACTACAGAGTGTGATGGGGCGATTTTTGAAAAAAGGCATTTATTTTTCCCATTTATTAGTCCCAGAGTCCTTATTTGGACCAACTACAAAATGATACACGACTTCAGAAGTCTACGCTAGGCCATCATCTACTTTAAAATACATATCTGTTTATAGCATTTCTCCACTGGGCAGTACTGTACAGTGCAGTATGGTTACAAATCCGGAACCAGAACTATCCGTACGCTGTTCGAGTACTTGCGTCTGTTTCCAAGCGCACAACAGAACCCTGACAGTAGACAGAGTTCTCTTTAGCATGTATGATCATATGATTTCTCACGTGGAAACAGTAAACACAAACAACTGAACAATAGCAACAGTATCAAGTTCTCATTTACTTTTTGTTCTGCATTTGGTTTTAGGTGAAAAGTCACAGACAGCAGTTCTGGCTAGCAAAATTTTATTATTATTATTTTAACGCTGGTCATCTGACTCCAATGACACTATGTGACAATTTTGTGATGACTACATTTGATCAATCAGTGGTTTGCATCATTTCAAGCTCCACTCATATGTTCTGGCTTGGCATGCTTGGTACCCCAACAACAAGGGTAACTAGATACAGGCGCTCAGGTATGGGTCACTCTGCAGTGGAAATGGCAACAAAATGTGTGATCCTGGTGGAAAAACACCAGTAGTGTTTGAAACAAATATCAAGTCATTACCTTTAGACCATGGGTGGATCCAGGGGTGTGGCCACAGGGGTACTAGCCCAACTAAAAATCTGATTGGTCCCTTGAATGCCTTCTAGAATGGCCTCTATATATAATAACTATTGAAGAGAAGGCAAATTTTGCACAGACTGACCTTTTGACCTTGGCATGGTAAGCAATAAGTTTTCAACAAATAAGTCTAAAAACATTGATAGCAGTTCATTTTTGAGTTATATTGGAATAGTGCTGCCATCCAACTGAGTCATTCTATAGAAAAACTTCTTTCCCTGTATTATATTATCAGAGTGGACCAAAATGCTTCATTTTCATGTTAAAATCATTGAATGTTTTTCATGGAGGGCCAAGCCTTTATTTTTAACCAGGGGGCTGATTTTTGAACTTATCACCCTTTTCACTGCCTGTATGAATAAGGTATGTTTGAAATTATTAGCCCATGTGTGCTACTGAATGAAAATCACACTGAGTAATATAGAGGATGAGCTATATCAGTAGAGTGGTTGATTCTTAATAAATTGTTTTAAAATATAATACAAATGTATTTAGAGATACTATGAGATAATTATGGAGTTCCTCGAACTTAAAGGCATTTGTTTGACCTCTAACAGAAACTATGGACACATTATGGCACAAAAAATCTCATTAAATATAAGACAAGACATTTAATAAAATACAATAAGGAGAAATTACAACAAAAAATGAAACTTCCAGATGGTCCAGTGTTGCTGTATAAATTTGTGTGTGTATCTGCATAGTATTGGTCGATAGCTAGTTGTCCTCAAAGTGAGAGACGTTACTGCATTACCCTTCCTGCGCTTGAGCTTGCAGTTGTGGTGATAAAGTACACAAGTGTTGCAATATATTCCAATCGCACAGGAGCTGACATCATGCTCTGGCACATAGCAAGCAACAAAGACTTAAGGAGTGCAGAGCTGATGCATGGGTGAGGGAGAGAGAGAGAGAGAGAGAGAGGTAAATGAGGGGGATGGCAAAAAGATGTAGGAGGGGGCGAGTGAGGCAGCCAGAGAAGCTGGGCGAGAGAGAGAGCGGGAGAGAGAGAGACAGAGAGATAACAGCAGGCTGCTGGTATTGGCTTCTACTGCAGTGAGCAAAGATAGAGCGAGAGAGAGAGAGAGAGAGAGAGAGAGAGAGAGAGATAGAGAGAGAGAGAGGGCAAGAGAGCTGCTAGAGAGCTGTAATGTTCTCTGGTGCTTGCAGCGGTGCTGATCCATACACTTTCTGTTCCTGCCTCAGTCCCTACACGCACGTCCACACACTCACACGCACACGCACCTCGCCGGCATGGCTCCAACGCAGCCTGGGGGGATCCTCTCCTGGATTACTGCTGGAGCGTCTCCACACTGGACTGAATGAGCGGCACGCTGATCCTATTTTTTCTGCACGCTGCTATGCTTCATTCATCTGAAAGGCTGGACTAAGCTGGATTACATACTGGACCTGCACTAGGGAGAAGGGGAGAAAAGAAGGAGACAGAAGGCGGCGCGTCATCAGCGGTCAGGATTTCCTCTTCTTCAAAGCAGCCGGCTCTCACGATGCCCTTGATGCCTGGACCTGGGTTTGTCCACACCTGATGGAACATGGACATCTGCATCTCATTCATTCACTAGTGAACTGTGACCAGGCTCTGATTAGCCTCTGGCTATAGAGTCTCATCATCATTCATTCCCCATGGCTGCATCATATCATGCTTTTCATGAGACGACTATGTGTTGAAACGTTTAATGTGTCAGATACGTGGTTATATATGTGGTAGAGTGTTAGGATATATAGGTAGACAGACAGACAGAGACTTGGGTGCTACAGGAAACAAAAACACTGTATACATATATATTGTATAATAAGATGCACATCATTTATATATAATTATTTGTACATACAAGATATTCGACAAAGTGCTTAGGACAATAACATCAAAGAGAGACATTCACATTCAATGGTATATGTCATGTGGGTTGTTATTTTTGTTGAGAAATTTTGTTCTGATGATAGAAACTGAGCTAATTTTGTCTCAAATTGTGTCCTATACAGCAATTCTGGAGTTAATCTCACCTACATACAGGTAGAAACAAACATAAACAGGTACAGACAGTAAGCGAGAGCGATAGACATATAGAGAGAGAGAGAGAAACAGCAGGGGTCCGCTTCAGACGGGCTCTGACAGGTGCAGTCACTCAAACAGCCTCTGTCGTGCACACCCTGCAGTTAGAAGGGTGGAGAACGGATTTGATGTGATTGCTGAATGACAGGTTGGTTCATATGAGAGGCTCGGGGTACGAATAGTGGGTCGTGTCCCCCCTCTCTCAGGGGAGAAGAGACAGTGTTTAGCGAAGTGTATCATGTTGAAAAAAAGGCTAATAGGGATATTTTCATATTATACGTAAGGACTTACCACTACTGCGTGTGCTTCATATCAAATATGACCATGCTGATGTGATTGTGTTCTTATTTTGAAAGAAATCTGACTGACAAGGCGGTTCATGTGAGAAGAGAAGGTGATTAGGATGTCTATCACGCTTAAAACAAGGCTTTGTGAAAGTTGCTTCCTATCAGTTCTGGGATCATGTTAATATGAATGTGTTCTTAATTCAGTGGAAATGTCCATATACAGTTAGCACACCTGCTTACATTGGCTGAAAAAGGCTCTTCTAAAGCGATGGGCCTGTACTCAACAGGTCGAACACTGTTCCACTGAGAGCTTGCAGTAGAAGAGTCGACCTGTGACAGGCTGCTATATAATGGCACGTAGCATATGTTTGTTTAAGAAACATAACACATTACGCAGAAGCGCCTGATGCGCTTTCTAAGAATAGCACAATGACACCGAGAGTACAGAAGGAGGCAGTAATCTCACTGGGGAATCCAGAAAACTGGGTGGTAAACACAGCATATATTAGAGTCAGTCTTGGTGCGCCACTCTTTTAATTAAAGTCTTTGATTATGAAGCCTCATGGGCGAGTCGATACACAAGGGGCTTTAGGCATGCATGCAAAATATACAATTGTAATTTCATTTAGAAGACATTTTGAAGATATCATTCAATAATAAGATTTCATTTCAAGGCTTAATATTTTACCATCTGCCATTCAATCACTGACACTGCTGTACTGGTGGACAGCTGAACAGCAAGTCATGATATAACAGCAAAGGTGCGTATATCTAACAAAAGCACAGTGGTTTGGGGGGCCTGAACCAAACCTTCAACTAACACCCTAAAAAACTACTTCAGATTGCCAAGCCCTTTCACATTTACCTCTACCAGTTTTTTCTGAGGGCCTCACTGATCTTGCTTTGGTCTTTGAATGAAGCCGCAGCACTGACTGAAAAAGAGGAACTGAATTTCAAAGGCTTTTCATGGCGAGCAAAGTCATAACCTTCGACTGCAGGGTGGGATCTCCATAACTGGACTGTGCTGTAATTGGCCTCGCTGGCTGTTTGATTTCGGAGCATCAGAGAGGCAAAAGCAGATTGAAGAGGCAAACCTGAACCAAGAGCCAAGATGGGCTGCAACATGTGTGTGGTGAATCGGCCTGAGGAACAGTACAGGATTATGTTTCAGGTGAGAATGCGCGCTTTTCTTTACCTGTGCTGTCTTTCAGGGTTTTGGAGGTTGCTGGAGGTCCGAGCTTTTCAAGCGATACTTCAACAAAAGTCAAATGTACAAAAAAATTCTGATTACCTCAAAGCTAGCCGGTCAGCCAAGAGATGTTTGGTATCTGAAGTTTGCTTCTTTAGTTTTGGACTGGAGCTACAAGGCTAATATAGCTAATAAGTAATTAGCATTGTACAAATAATCATCACACAGTAGCTTTTTGTCCATTTTGATAGACAACAGTATGTCAGAAACCACATAAGTAACTCTATTTGAGATGACTTAAGAATGATTATACATTAGGTTTGCTCAAAGTTAGCATTTGGCAATTTATGTTTAGCAACTTACATTACTTGTTAGCCTTACTAGCCTCATGGTAATGACTTTTGCTGCCTCTCAAACATCTCCTGAGTTTTCATTACATCAATGTGCACCAGCGGGCAGGGAAAAATAATATTAACTAATAATATCACGTTTCACCTCCTCTTCCCAGCCAAGAAATGTGCAATCCACTCATCCCCTCTCGAGAAGAGTGTATTAAATGGAGTGTTATTTAGGTGAGGTAGGCTGGTGATACTCTGGTTGGAACATAATGTGAAACTTCATGTGTTCTTCTCAGTGAAGACATATAAAGTTTATACGATTCAGTCCACAGGCACAGTGTCTTTTGGGCAGGTTTAAGTTCTGACTAACACCCTTACCAACCTTTAGAACTGTTCCTGCACTGATATGTCAAGTAGACAACTATTCGCTTATGTTCAATTCCTCTTTGAGATTAAGCCTAGTCTAAAGGTTTAAGGCTATAGAAGAAACATTCTTTCAAATCTAAAGTTTGTGTCTACTTGAGACTGCTCATCATCTATTTTTGACCACCATACCATCACTAAATACCCACGCCTACCTACACCTAGTATCTTCTCAAGAATCTTATGAAATCTTGCATACAAATCCACGTGATAGGATACATCTGCCCGTAATGCTTCTAGACGGATATCAAGTTAACCCTTTAATGTCCTCTCCAAGAAAAAAGCAATAGATTTTTTTTTGGGTATTTTTTATTTGTTTGGGGCAATAATAAAAACAATTGGTGTTTTTTTTTCTTTTTTTGACCCCACAATTTTTAAAATATGTCTACCAAACGGTCAAGATGGCACTTTGTGGCATATATAGTAACCCAAAATTTGCTCTACCAAATGGCTGAGCAGAACATTTAAGGGTTAAAAAATTGCCACTACTTTCAGTTTAGACATAAGACAAAATGTTTAATGTTAAATTAGTAAAAAATGTACAGTGATATTAATTGATGGCAGAGGATGCCAGAGCGATGGAGCGGGATAACAAGTTATCTGCAATTCACAGGGGGATGCCATCACATCTGATTTACTGCCATGGCAGAGCTCACTGTGGGCACACTGCGCAGAGGGCTAAAGCTGAAATTTCTGGATGGATAATGCTTCAGCTGTAGTGCAAAGGCACAAGGAGCCATTAGTTTCGGTTGCTGACAATGCAGTTTCATGGTCCAATACAGTTTGTGTGTACATATCTACATAGTTTTAGTGAAGAGTTAGCTCCAGATAGGGAGATGCTTATCATTACTTCTGCTGTGTGAGTTTCCGGTCTAGCGTAGACGGCGTATGAGTAATCATAAGTAATCAAGCGTGTAAATTCATGAGTGATGAAATTCATCTGGCCCTAATGCTTCTAAGCAAGTATTAAGTCAAAAATACCATTTGACTTTTCCCTTAAAATCAACCTGGAATCAATTTGATCTCATCAGTTTATGTTTCTGGTAATATTAAGAATCATCAAATTCTTATTTTCCTGTAATCTTCTATTCTTCTAAAATTTTGTGACATTTGCCCCCCTAAAACATATGATTCATATTCATATGATGATATGTTTCACATACCCTTCCTTCGCCCCCACCTATCATCAAGCGAAACACTCAGTTAGCTCAGAGACAATCCTTAATACTACCTTTCACTCTGAAATATGTCACAGTGTGGAAGGAAAATGATTTCCGATTTACAGTGACTACAATGTACTACCTTTGTCTAGACACAGGACATACAGGGGCAGACATTTTGTGCCATTATGAACCCTATTTTAACATTAAAAAGTTGCTGTCATGATTGACCAAACAGGTGCAACAGCCTTTTAGCACGATCACTGCTCTTCTGTGCTTTTGCCTCATTGCATATGCATTCATAGCAGTTTCCCTCTCACAAAACACTGAGAGGAAATTATCATAATGAACCACCTATTCTGATTTACCAAGGCTGATAGGAAATACTGACTGTGTGCTGATTAGCGCCCGAGAAAAGCTTGTCTTATTTTTGGTGCTAACAAAGCTGCTAAGAGAGAGAGAAAAGAGAAAGTGCATTTGTGAATGCCTGCCATGTTATTCTTAATTTGATGATGGAAATAAAAATGTAAAACCAATTTGCTTTAGTAGAGCAAAGTTTTAAACTGCTATTTCCTAAGACTTTGGGTATATTTTACAACACTATAGTGTCTTGAAAGTAACTAAGTTGCAAAAGATATTAATTACAATATAGCTGTTAATTACAATTAATAAACTAAGAAATTAAACTTAAAACAGTTTGTCGTTTCATTTAGTTATAGTCAGCAATGACAAAAAGAAAGAAGCACTAACCTGCCCTGTATTCATTTTAATTTACATCATATTTAATTAACATCATATTTATCATTATTGGGGATTTTGCTAAAATATTTATAGCAAAATGCAGATAGAACAAAATTTCACTTTTATAGGAAGCAAAAGTGAAACTCTATGCTGAATAGTAGAGCATGAGATATCATGTGATAACTGTAACTCTAGGCGTACTTTGTTTACATGGTTTAACAGTTTTCATCACTGTCGTAACACAACCTCATCTCCACAATAGCAACTTAACAGGAGAATGTAAACATCCTTAACTTATAATGGAAGTTAATGTAACAGTATTTTTTACATGTAATTTAGGATAATATCTATTAGTCCATACATCATTATGTTTTAACACAACGCAAAGGGTAGTTTTTGAATTATTCAATAAAGTAAAAAATGGCAGTAAGGGCCATAAAAGGTTTTTGCGTGACAGCAACCATTCGAAAATGTAACCTTTAGCTACCTGACGTGTGTCCCCAGTTGTCAGACCAAATTAGCAACCCTGATCATATGTTAATTACATGTGCCAGTGTTCATTTGCATGGACGTTCTTGGTAGATCTTCAAATGCAAAGTGTAGACTGTTGTGAATTGGTGGCTCTCTCAGTAAATCTGCCCTAAAATATTAAATAAGTAAAAAAAAAATAAAAATTTAACAGTAGTGACAGACTACAGTAAATAATAAGTGATTTTATGTACCGGACTTTCTTTTCCTTCCTTATCCACATGAAGTCTCAGTCTTTAAAAAAGGTTTAAACTCTGCACATCCACTCTACTCTAAAATGTGCATTTTGAAGAGCTGACTAAAAGAGTCTCTCACTTTTCACACTTAAACAAATATTTTAGCAAGGCTCGAGTCAGCCGCTTCGTAGAATTTTGTTCGGAGAGCGATTTTGCACACTCCCCAGGCTCTGATGTTACGGTAGGATAGGTTGCGCTGTATCTAATTTGAGAGGGATCTGCCGCTTGATCTTGGCAATCTCTCTGCAATTTCAAGGGCTTCTCTCTTACTTCTCCTGCTTCCCTCGCACTGCTTGAGGTGGCTCAAGCACTTTCAGCTCCCTAACTAGTTCTTCACCCAGAAACACAGAAGCCCCTCAGCATGTGAGCCCACTTAAAATGCTGCACGGTGATGAGGAGAAGTGCTTGGAGACCCCTTAACTCATGCCAACCATGCGGCAAAAAGCACTTGGAGGCATTTCGAAGAACCAAGAGGAACAGAGTGTGTATGTGTGCATATGATATATACGGCACCATGTTCTCTGAGGTTTGGTGGGGAATGATGAACGATCTCTAGCTGAGATAGCCGAGAGCCAGCGTGTGTCTTTATCGTGAGGGCTTTTTCCTCAGTACTCTATTTCATGTGCTTCTATTCCAGTCCAAGCCTTTTCTTTCAAATGAACACTGGGCTGGTCGTATCAAATGTTAGCATGTTCCTTCGACTTCATCAAGCACGAAGTGCAAAATGCGGCCCCCAAAGCGACAAACCGAACCCTTTTTCATGCGCTAAATGCTTTAATCAATCAGTTTCATTGTAGTCGGTGGTAGACAGGCGAATCCGTCAACATGCAACTACATGCAGCGCCATTTAGAATGGAAGCAGACACCATGACAGTTCCTCGGTGATCAAGGAGACAGAGACATTTCTGGCTTTGCACTTTTTCATTTCCTTTCCAGATACACATCAGTCACACTCACCAGCACACTGACATGCACATACTCTCCACGGACATCCCTCACTTCTCTCCATCCTCTCTCTCTCTCTGAGTGTTGTTTGCCATGGCTTACTGCACAGTAATGAAGAACTCCAGATAAAGACGCAGCCTATTGGAGTCAGGCCTTTCTGTCAATAACATGGACCTTAGCATTAGCGCCATATCGCATTAACTGGCCTCAAAGCTGACAGGTCACAGTAGCCAGCGCTGAGGCTGATCTCGTTCATTTAGCTGAGCCATCTCAGTGCAATGATAAGCTAAGCTAATTGCCACTAAGCTCGGGGGCTCGCGCTGAGGTTTAAATGAGCTCGTCTCCGCTCAAATCCCTCGAAATAATGCCGAATGCCGAGCTCGCTCCAAAAACGCGTCTCTAAACACGTTGCAACCCTGCTAATCCGTCCTACAGCCCACCCTTTTCCATGTCTGCTGGGCTTCCCTCTCTCTTTTTCTTCCCCCCTCTCGCTCTCCTTCCCCCTCCCGACAACAAATTCTGTCAAATGCGTCTCTATGGGCCGTGGTTGCCACGGCAACTGTGGTAATTAAACAAGACTTATACGCTTCCTCACCGTACAGCTCAGACAG